AGAACAAATCTCCGTTCTGGAGATTGGCTTAACACTGCACAGGGCATGCTCATCTGAGAAATTGGTGCCTTTTCCATCACTGCCCAACAAAGCATACTTATTCATTCTTCCTTGCAAACCCCTTACATTATTCTTAATTGACAAAAACAAAGTATTTCATGAAGCGCTTTAGACTTAACTGATACAGATGGTTTTGCACCAAAAGCATCTTAGTCATTAAATTCAGATGGAATTCCACTTGACTGTGGATCTGCCTCGGCACTTAAGAAGCATGCAACTAAATAATGAATGATGATAATCGTGAGGACAGCCAAACATTTACTATAAAGCAACGGTGATTTGCTTGCACAGATGCATTATTCACAAAATAAATTGATGTCACAGGTGACTGATAAAGTTATGAGGAACACAGCCTGTGAATAACATTTTTCATATTAAACCAACATTTCAGGCTATCCATAAACCATCTTGACCTAATTCAGAGGTGCATGTTTTTGTCCAAGAACAAATGTTGCATACGTGTGACAGATTGAATTGAGCCATGTCATTAACCAGTACAGTACCAGTACAATTGGTTATCAGTGGGCATCTTAAAACTATAAAAACATATTTTTCTTAGGAGAATATATGCAGATTTCCTCAGTCTTCATGAGATGCACGCAGTGCAGTAGTTGGATGTGTTGCCTCCAGGGTTTCACTGAGGCTGCAGTCTGACTGCATTTAACCTTGCAGAAAACAGCTACTATCTTTCAGCCAACGCAGAGCTTTGTTAAGAGACGAACAAAGGTGCTGCTTTGTTAGTATTCTCTGAACAGCTGCTGTGAAGAAAAGACAGTGCTTTTGCTCAGCACATTTCCTAGTCTTGAAGAGCACCTCACCTGTTGTTGTCTTGGTATCTGAACTGGCCTGAGCAGAGATTACATATTTGCCAGACTGTTCATACTTAATATTCAGGTTTTATAATGGCATTTTCTGACATTTCTGAAATTAAGTAGGCATCTTCTTTCAGGTACAGTGGATATAAAAAGTCTACACACCCTTATTGAAATTGCAGGTTTTTGTGATGTAAACCCAGAAATCAAGATAAATCATGTCAGACGTTTTCCATCTTTAATGTGAGTTTGCCACCAACAAAATTCAAGTGAAAAACAAATAGATAATTATTAGGAAAAATAATTGAAATAAAAAACCTACAACACAAAAGCCTGCCATTTCAGTAAGGGTATGTAGACTTTTTTATATCCATTGTAGGGCTGTAGGCTCCAATTCTTGAAAAAAAAAAAAGGGTCATAAAAATAGAAAGTTCGCCAGAAATCTGAACCTAGAGAGAAGAGCTCTGGGTGTTGAAAAATCTATTTTACTGTGAGATGCCAGACATGTTGGAAGACAGGGTAGGGGGGAAAAAGAACCTGTAGCTGCAGAAAATTGATTTGGAATTTGTGAAAACCACTAAAATTCCTGGCCCTTGAAAGAAGTTCATGCAACTGTCATACCACACTGGATGCAGTTCATGTGGCCTGCTAAATTTACCCATGTCCCTGTATATACACTCTATTCATGTAATTGAAAACGCGCAGAATAAGCTCTTTGTCCTAGATATGACTGATATCCGGCACTACTCCTGTAGCTCAAACAGGCCATTGTGTGGCATAATTTGTCATGTTCAGACTTTTAACACCACCGACATAGATTTTGGAGAGATTGCACTTCATAGCACTCGCATCGATTAACAGTTTGAGTCTTAAAGCAATTGAGCGTCCTATGAAGTCATGGGGCAATGGTGCCTGATACCTGTGTACATTCTAGAAACGGGCAAAGTCATGAACTGCGGACAGTAAAAGCTCTAGAATCAGAACAATACTTTGTACTAAGTTCTTGAACTACACTTTTGCATTTGGTGTGAGCAAAAAATCTTGTAGCTGCAAAATATATTCTCTGCAAAGAAAAAGTCCGATGTGTAAGAAAACTGATTCTGCACTAAAATAGTGATCCCGTGAGGCTTTATAGACGGCTACCGATTAGTCTTCAGATCTCATGCTCGTTTATATTGGCTTGCAGTCCTCCAGATCTTTGGTGACAGTTCTTTAACAGTGGTCTTCCTCAGTAGTCACTGTATTTTTCAGCAGTCAGATGTCGGAGAACTATGGCAGTGGATACTGAAGCGTTTCAATCCCTCGTCACAACTTATAAACCATGATTCTCCTTCCTTTAAACTGTCAAGGAGTCTTGTATCGTTTTTTGAAATTTGTCTTTGAGTTTTCATCACTTAAATTTAATTCATGAAGTATTTAAAGATTGTTTTGACTGCCGTATGGCAGTCAGCTGTCTTATTTTGAATAATAGCAGTAAATGTTTTGACTTTTGTTTTCATTTGTGAATGGGTTGAAGATCGCTGTCTGAATGTTTTGTTGAGCTTGAATTTGCTGCCAAGACCCACTCCCATGATTGTTTTTCCTAAAATAGAAACATGAGTGGAGTGTGCCTGAAGAATTGTAATTGTTTTCTATTGAACGTGGAACAATGACTTGCCTAAGGCAGGAAAATGTAAAGTTGAGAATGATCTGAGTCCACCTCTTCAAAACAAACTTTAAATAATTCATGATCTAAAGTTGTCACATCAGCGTCCCATCATTTTGTGCTATTTCTTTATCACAATTATTGTTTCCTTGAATTTGAGATCTAAAACAATCCCCAGAACAGAGACCTGCTCTTGAGTTCGCAGAGTGGGAGGTTGGTGGGGACGACGGACAAAAACAAGGCACGCCACTCCCTTCCTCGAAAAAAGTTACTCTTCCAAACAAGCGTGGTCAGAGACGTCCATTGGTATTTATAGACGATCTCCAAATACTGCTCAGAGTGTCCTGCTCTGCCTTTGTATGATCCCAGCCTCTTGTCTGATGTTTCTTAAGGTATTACTGTAGACGTCCATAGTTCGTAAGCTCGCTCAGTCAGCTGCTTCCGTGTTTGATGAATTACAGGAGCGAACATGCTCCACCTGAAGCCCCACTGCTCCCAGCAGGGCCTTGAATGTGCTTGTGCGCTTCCACGCTGGGCTGCTGAGACTCCTACTAACTTGCATCCATCTTTCCCCCCCCCCCCCCCCTGTCAGCCTTTCCTCACTGCACTAGAACAAAATACCTGATTCACCAGCTGGTGAAGGTGATGTAGGAGGTGACACAGAAACCTGGGATGACAATCCCCACTCCAAAAGGCAGAGAGGAGCAGGTCCCCCTCTGTTTTCTTGGAAGGAAATGCTTTTTAGAATTGCACATTGCCTCTGAAACAGTTACTAATGGGGCATAAAGCAGTGCCGTTTGGTTTGCTTTAGTACGGGGGATGCATGTTTTATTAGTCCTTTCAGGAGTTGTGCAGATGGCAGCTGATTTTCAATTCAGCCATGTTGTCTGTCAGGTTGTAAGTGCTAAAAACATGGGGGTGGTCCAGATGCTGAATCCACCGTTAACAGGGCACGACCAAAGTCATTAAATGTAATTGAAGGCCGAGTTGAGTAAGTGGAAGACCGAGGAGGGTGTGCGTGCAGCTGCAAGGTTCAGGCATCAGGAAAGCTGACCCAGTTTAAAAGTGCATTAAAACAAAAATTGAGACTGGCGGCAGTGTCCTATCATGCAAAGGCAGAGCAGTGAAGGGCTGATATGAAGAGCACAGGCCCGCAGGGATCAGCACAGGGTAAGTATACCAAGAGCCAAGCAGGTTGCTGTTCTGGGGTTCCCATCAGTCACCCTTCTGTATTGGAGGGTGGGCAACAACGCGGTGAGACATTCCGCTCGCTGTGCGCTGGTTTCTCCTCATGTGCACTAATAGAACTTGCCGTCTTAACTCCATTGCTCTGCCTGTTCCATCCTAACCCCCCTTAGCTCTTTCCGTTAGACGACACGTGAAGATCACCTATCTGTGCTTGTGCTCATCTCTTTCTCCAGATTCCGTTAGACCTTTTTGTTTCCCCTATATATTTAACATCCTGTACAGTGTTTTTACTAACGTCATTGTTTCTTTTTGTTAATTAACAAAAGGTTGCATGTGATCTTTTTTTTTCCTTTTATTATAATTTTTTTTTACAATTCAAAAAATATTTCTTTTGAAAATGTACTGCAGACCAACTTAGGAACTGAGCCTGGAATACATTTTTTTTTGTTAATTTGACTTTTTTTTAACCTCATCTCGTTTTGCTCTGATTATTAGTGGTGGGGTGGTTTTTACATTTCACAGTTTTGCTTAGATGAAGTGGAAGGCAACTGATGTCACGCACATTCCCTCAATCAGTCACTAATGCAAGCACACTGAAATTTGCACAAATAATCCAGTGCCCTTTTCTCTTGTGATGGCTGCAACATGGTGCTTTGTATGTCATGGGTATGGTTTCACTGGAAGTTTGGAATTTTATACCTATTTTTGTATATGCAATTTTTCTACATTTCTCCTTTATATATGTTTATATATGTATACATTTCTATATGTATATATTCATATATATATGTATTAATAAAATCACTAGCAGTGTTATTTGCTTTTTCTTTTTATACATTTTGTTTCTTCAATTTGCAATCACATGACTTCCCTTCCACATTGTGCACTGAAGCTGCCTCTCACAATGTGTGAAACCCAGTATTGGGGGCTATGCCTGTCGTCTGTTGGATAAGAAAAGTCCTTGTAGTGAATGGGTCACTTTGTCCCACATAGGAAACGGGAGAAGAGTTTTTAGGACTGTTAGTGTTAGAAGCAATCTTTCTTCTTAAGGGAAAACCTTTTTTGTCAAAGGAAACACGTTCACCCCCTCCCCCTTTCAGTAGCACTGTCAGCATTCTCTCTGCATGCTTACTACATGATCTGATCTGATATGACACACGATATTTTGATATGATATTGTCCATAGCAGCCCTTGTGTGCCCACTCCTCATCCTGCGGTATGTTCTGTGCCTGCAGGGAAAGCTGTTCTTATTATTGGAATATTTTTGGTTTTTCTTCTCTGTTCTGTCCATCAGGATAATATCGGGCACCGGCTACTTCAGAAGCATGGCTGGAAGCTGGGACAGGGGCTGGGGAAGTCCATGCAGGGTAAGGAAGTACTTTCTTCTCCTCCAGTCCTCTCTGAACTTCCCTCTTCATCTCTGTTCTCTGTTCTCGATTCCTTTTTTAAATAAGTCTGCCTTTTTTGTGGTCTCTTTCCATCTCTCTCTTTTGTTACATGTCTTCCATGTAAGTTATCATTGTGAGTAAGCTCTTGCTATAGGTGCCTTTTTCAGGGTGGTGTTGTTTTAAGAAGGGTCTTTTAGGGACAGGCTGAAGCAAGGGGTGTTTCAGGGGTGGGAAGTGTATTAGCTGCCAGCTCTCTGCTCCTCGGGCTAATGTTGTGTTGCTGCCTTGGCGTTGACTGTTTCATGCTCATTAGGCCCCTGGCAGGAGGCTAAACTGTGCCTTTGAAACTGGAGCACATTAATTGCTATGAGGGGACTGTTCGGGGCCTTGAGGGGGTAAAGACAACAGGTGTGCTGAGAAATACCCAAGAGAGAGAGAGAGAGGCAGAAAAGGAAAAATGCTGGGTCAGAAATCCTTTCGAAAGGTTGAGATTGTTCCTTCAGTCCTTCATCCCTCCTGCGTTTTGAAAAAAGCAGAATGTTCAGGCTTGAAAGATCTTCTCACGAATAGGTCTTTCTCATGTTCTTGCTGGAATCAGAATACAGTATGTGAGATCCTGGCTTGATTATGTTGTGAACATTAGAGAGAGCTTAGTTCTTGATCTAAACTTTTGGCATGGCTGTAAGAGGTTTGTTATTTTTCTATTCAAGTAAGACGTATAGGTCCTTAGACTTGAGCTTCTAATTCTAATACCGGATTTCTAGAACTTTTCTTATGGTGCTAACGTTCAGTGTAAAAAAAGCCTGAAGGTTGTTGTGCAGGACTGTTAATCTTTAATATCTTTTTAAAAAAATGCCTTTTTGTTTTTGCTTTGTTTCATGGTTATTTTTTCAGAGATTTTTTTTTCCTCCCTTTTCTGGAGTGCGTTCAGGAGATAGCATCATCTATTGTGTAGCTGCACTAGCGTAAACACTTCTCTCACTGTCGGAGGACAATGGAGCGCATTGAACGAGCGCGTGTGTGACTCAGTGAGCTGTGACCATATGGAAAATGTGGTGGCTGGGGAGCATTGTAGTGCTGCAGTATATCCCTTTCACTGCGCATCCCTGTTATTGATACCAGAAAACAGTGGATCCCTTTCAGATTTCTAATCTCAGAATATTTTACGTGAAATTATGGGCTTTTGAATTTTGGACTGGTCTGTAAATTTGCAAGAATGCTCAAAGTGGCCACAGCTGCACTTTGTACCATTAAGAGTCACACTTCAGCCGAGACTTCATCCTGCTGCTCTTTTTTGAGCGAGCACAGCCTCCTATATGTTGCAAAACTGTCTGATCAAGCAGTTGAACTCTGTCCATGATATCTTAATGGTTGTTGTTTTATCAGAAAGAGGACAGAAGAAGTATGGTTGGTGAGAACTTTCTTGAAAGTATTTGGGACCCCCACTTGCTGCTGTTCCTGCAGAAGACATGTTGCTGCTTATTAGTCTGTTTTGTGTTCAAATGAATGAAGAAAAATCAGCTGTGAGTAGGTTTTTATGGGACATGCATTGTGGGACACTTGAGTGTGGTTCAGAGGAATGTATGTAAGCAGCTGCTATTTGTTTCTGTGCTGAAGAAAAAAGATTTTTGTGCATAGAGATACTTATGTTTCTTGAAGCAAGCTTAATGTTTATGATTGAGATTAATCAGTCTCTAATTAGTGGAGAAAAAGCTGCAGTAATTGTTATGGTTTGCTGCCAAGCTGTGGCATTTATAGAGGAATGGATTGTTTTTGTAAATGCTGGAGGTCAGGCAGGACTGCTCCGGCTGTTTGTGTGCAGGCCCTATTCCAGCATGCCGCATGCATACTCCTGTGAGTTCAGTAATAGCAGCTTTCCAGGGAATTGTGATCGTCAAGGGAGCAGAGGAGCTTGCTGTCTTTCCAAAGCACATGCACTCCCTCTGCCTGCCTAAGGGGATCCTGTTTTCCACACATCTGCATCTTTCACTTGTCCTGCAAGGAGCAGAGGGAGGCTGCTAGCTGTTTGCCAGTTGTGCCTTTTTGATGACAGGATGGCTTATCTTCACAGTTGGGTTTTAAGGTTTTTCCAAGAGAGAGAAAATGAGCAGCAAGGTTTGAATGATATTCAAATATGAAGCAGATATTTGAGGTCATAAAGAAATTTACAATCTGTATTATGAGGTATTTTGTTTTGGTGACTAGGAGAAAAAAAACACCATAAGCAAAGGGATTTCAAAGTTAAAATGTATTCTCCTGCTTTTTAAATCTCATCATCAAATATTAATCATAATTGTAATGTTCTCCCCTCAGCCAGTCTAGTTAACCCCAATTATCTAATGCACTGCCTGTCCCTCCTGGGATTTAGGTGCAATTATGATGTAGGGATTAACTGAATATAGTTGCTGGAAAGTGTCATCACACTTGTTTGTCTCTCTGGCTCCCTCTCAGCTCAGTCTCTGTGAGCTTTCCAGAAAACATTCTTCCAGTAGTCTTTTGGATCATCCAGGTGCTTTTTGTTAAGCTTGAGGCGATGTTCTTTTCAGAAACAAAAAAAAAAACTGAAAAGGCAAATTTATATAAGTATGCTACCTTACTGGAACCTATTGTGGTCAAAATCTATGCACATTGAAGTCAATGTTTAAACAAATGGAAAAGAAATCAGAATGTCATTATCTGTGGGTTGTGATGGATTTCCCAGGTTCAAATTTGCTCGTAGGTGTGAGCTATTAAGGACAAGATGGTTTTCTACTAGTTGCCTGAAGATTATCCTAAACCAGGACAAAGGTAATACTGAGAATAAAAGTTGTGATAGCTTTCTGTCAGTCCTAATCTCCCCCTTCACA